AATTGTTGCGCTAGGGTTTCAAATTATGGTTGTGATTGGAGTTTAGTTTTAGTTTCGAGTTCCGATTATGAGTTTTGATTCAATTTAAGGTTTTAGATTTTATGGGGGAGGTTTTTGTTTAATACAAATTTAAATGAAAGTTTAATTTAAATTTTAATATAATTAAAATTGATTATAACTTAGTTATCACAATACAACGAGTGAGAAGGCAAACGAGCAACAAGTTGCACCGCTAAGCCTTTTTGTATGGTAAATCCAATTCTTTTGAAGACTACATCCATAAATCTAGGGGATATAACATTGCTATGCATGATCCGTTGTACTTTATTAAGAAGCTCCACCACATCCGGTGGGAGAAAACCAAATGTATCAAACATAAACGGTATGAACACGTGTTGATTTTCCATGCACGATTTTTCATGTTTTGTGATCTTGCATGTACTTTATTAAGAAGCTCCACCACATCCGGTGGGAGAAAACCAAATGTATCAAACATAAACAGTATGAACACGTGTTGATTTTCCATGCACGATTTTTCATGTTTTGTGATCTTGCATGTAACAACTTTTAAAGCAACCTACCCCGCCTTAAAACCCACAACCCCCAAGCCCACAAGAAGGGATACCCATGGAAGGTCCACACATGCGTGTTTCCCTCCAACCCATCCAAAAATCAAAACGTCAGTCGGCCTAAGGGTTAACCTTCCTTCTGTCGGGTTAGCCAAGAAATTCACAAATGCCTCTTTCTTGGCACAAACCCCGACACGCTTAAATATGTCAAACAAAACATCCTTAACCAGATTGTGCCTGTATTTGAATCCCGAGAGTTCTTTACAATGAACTGCATGCTCTCCAAAAGAGTCCAAACCTGTCTTGCGGCACACCGAGCATATCTCGTCATCTGGAAATATTGGGATCATGAGCCTATACTTAATGATAGTACGATACTCCACATGAGACATATGTTGGCCAAACTCATCTATAGGGATAGCTAGAAGAAAATCTTGAGCATGTTGTGCACGTAAACACTGGAAAATTGCTTTCTACCGAGCCGTCATGTCGAAATGCACCTTCATATCTTGGACAATTTTACTAAAAAGGGCACTTGCCAGTGTATTCTGAGATTTTTTTTTGGGGGGGGGGGGGGGGGGGGGGTCCTTAGTAGTAAAATTGTTAATGTCAATGTCTGGAAGCTTGTTACGAAGAGAAGTTAAGACACAAACATAATCAGAATTCATACCACATATACCGCTATCCCATAAGATGTGGTCTTGCAACACCCAAGATTGGGCCATTGAAGCAACAAAAGCATATGAGGTAGACTCTACTGCCAAATACAAACCCAAACCACCAAACCTAATGGATAGGGAAACAATTCGCCATGTGAATGGGTTGGCACGTCCTCAGCCCAAATTATAGAGTTTAATTTTGATTTTGATACAAATTATGATCATATAAATTTTATGAAGTTTATGAATTTGGTCTAAAAATCATTGAAAAAAAAAGTTAAGAAGAAATAGGTTAAATGACTGATATGCCCTTTTGTGAAAGTAACATGATATAACTGATAAGTTGACATCTCCAAGTTGTCGGTATCGATTTAATAACCATGTCATACAAATTTTAGACGTAACTATATTTTTAAAGGACATGATGCAACGCTTTTTAGATAAGACGAAAATTATAATTTGCTTTAAGTTTCTTTTATACAAATTGCCCATATTTACAATTACATTCGTTTAATAATCCAAAAAATTCGCGTCATGTCCAATAAGTGGACTCAAAAGTTGGTCTTCAGGGTCGATGATGGCTCTGCTTTAATGCTCCTTTCGGTAGCCCACCTCCGACTTCTTGCCTTTCTTTGGATTTTATAGCTTTCAGACCTACACACAACGTGCATATACGCTGGAACTCCATCCTCTTTGATTCCATTCACAAATTACAATCAACTGGTTGTTTAACTATAACAATTTCAATCCACGAGATCGGTTCTTGATTGTAATATCATTTGAATTCAACACTTCTCCTTCTACTTCTACTTGTACTTCAAGTCTTCACTGTATTATCAGGTTTGATCTGCTTCTCATCAGTTATTTTATCATGTTTTTCATTTTCGTTTGATCTTATTCAACAAAACCCTAAGTTGTTTGGCAGTTTATGGTTTCCTTTCGTCTGTTGTAATCTGGTAAATGAAGTGGTAACTTATGATTTCAATTTGGATGTTGATTTGTTACTACTTCGAGCTTAAAGGTCTGAATCTGTTTCATGATCAATAGGATGTGCTTTAGAGCTACGAAATCTCGTTACGTTTCTAGTTTTTTAGATTGATCAAGCCTTAGAATCTCAGATTTTTTTTCTTGTCCTAAATCTATGAATAATTTTTGCTATAGTGGTACATCTCTGTTATAGATCTCATCCATTGAGTATAATTTCAAGTTTTCCACTGAATTTGAAGAATATGCATTCATTTTTAACTAGTAAATGCTAGAACTCAAGTTTGACCAAAAAGTCAACTTTCCACGGTTGTTGTAAAGCTAATTAGCCAAATTTGTTCTCTATCCAAAATAAACTGTTGTTATACTGTTATTAGCTTCTTGTTTGAAACATTTCCAGTTGCTTCACAAAATCACTCACAACGCACATCCAATCACCCTTAGAGCTTGACCTCCTTCTATACATATTTCTTGATTATCACCAGTTTATTTACTGTGTTTTTTGCTTGAAATTTATTTTTTCAGCACGATTCCTGGATAATCGATCTGTTATTTTATTTGGTTGGAAATCAGCATCTTCAAAATGGATCCAAAGAATAATTTCTCTTTTCAGTCCCACAATTATTTTCACAGACTTTCAAAGGCTTTAGAGTTTGCGGTTTCCGAATGGCTGCTCATCTTCTTATTGTTCATTGAAGCATGTTTCACATACTTGATTGCAAAATTCGCATCCTACTGTCAACTTGAAGGCCCATGTCTACTTTGCACAAGATACGATCATCTTCTATCCAAGGATAAAACAGGAATTTACTGGGATTCCATTTGTAATCATCACAAATCCGATCTTTCTTCTTTAGTTCTTCGCCATGTTCATGATAAAAACTTGCTTCCTACTAGTTCAATTCACGATGCTTCTGAATCTTTATTTGAAAATGGAGAGCATTGTAAGAACGAAAAGAACATATTCGTGGACAAGTCTCTTGAATCGTGTAGATCTTCTGATCTTCAAAAGATTCAAATTAATCATTCGTTAGAGGTTGAATATCAGAAAGTTGGTGTTAATTCTGATAATGAATCAGAACTCTTGGTTTCTGATAATGAAACTACCCGTGATCTTGTTCCTGAGGTTCTTTTGAAGTCTGATTCACATATTGAAGTTCTTGATCTTCAAGATCTTCCTGCAACCGTTGTAGCACGAGATGCAGAGGAACTAAAATGGCAGAATGATGAAAAAAAGGAAGATATGCCTTTGATGACTGAGCAAAACTCATTGGAAGAGGCTCCATCAGCTAATATTGCAGAAACTCCTGTTGATGCATCTCTAGAGATAGGTAAGTCCAAGTTCAAACACCCACTCATTTGCTATAATATATCATCTCTATCTCATGCTTAGTATGTCATAGCCAAGTAACATAACATCTATACGCTGCCAGTTTTAACAGTATCAGTATCAGTATCAGTATCAGTATCAGTATCAGTATCAGTAACAGGTTGTCTGTTTGCAGATGATCCTCCGAAAATGAATGAAGCAATCAAAGATCCCATTACAGAAACCGAAACCGAGCCATGCACAACTACAAATGGCCACCAAATGTCAAACTATTTCGATCTTGGTGATGCTTATAAACTCGCAATAAGCACTAAAGCCAGACAACTCTCTGGGAAGTTTCTAGACCAAAAATCCTTCAAAGAATCTTCAACAAAAGTCAACGAAGACCTAAAAATTCTACTATCCCACCGATCCAACGACAATCTAATAAGCCCAAAACTATCCTTTAATAGCGACGAACTTTCGGGAATCCAATTTCTTCAAAGAAGAATCTCTTTGGAAAGGAACGAGTCCAATATTTCATTGGATGGAAGCATTGTAAGTGAGATTGATGGAGAAAGTGTTGTTGATAGATTGAGAAGACAAGTTGAACATGATAAGAAACTTATGGGTGCTTTGTATAAAGAATTGGAGGAAGAAAGAAATGCTTCGGCTGTTGCTACAAATCAAGCAATGGCTATGATTACTAGATTGCAAGAGGAAAAGGCGGAACTTTATACGGAAGCTTTACAGTATTTGAGGATGATGGAAGAGCAAGCCGAGTATAACAGTGAAGCGTTGCAAAATGCAAATGATCTTATTGAAGAAAAAGATAAACAAATTCAAGATTTGGAAGAGATGCTTAGGAAGATGTCGGAAGATGTTAGAGAATGAAACCCCATATTCAAATATTATTTTTGTGCCTGATACATACATACATTTATCTATGTATTAGGCATAACCCTAAACCCTAAACAGATACATACTTGCATGTATCATGCACAATACATTATTGTGCCTAATAACATATAAGATGTGTAGTTTTTTTTGTTAAGATTTGGTTACATATGGTATGAGCATGTCCAAGTTTACAATAGATTCCTTGTGATTTGGGTGTTTTTTTGGTTTGTTTTGTTTTTAATGGTCGATATGTGAAGACAAACAAGACAATTGTTGAAGATGTACACTATACTTTATGGTTTGATCAAAAGAGACTTTTTTCAATCTTCTAAAAGTTTCCCAACTTTTATGCTTAAGTTTGTGTAGAGACGTGTATTATTTGAATCACAAGGAGTATATATACTCTCTAGCTATTATGTTTTGTTGCAACTAGTCCTATAACAATTATTATAACTAGTTATTTAATCCTAATCAATATAATTAAAGTCAAAATTAATCTACCTACACCTTAAAATCTAATTATCTATCACTTCAAATTGCAATAATCAAATAATCAGATTAAAAACTCAAATTTTCTTTGCCTTTGTAAAGTTACAAGCAATCACAATCCACAAAACCCAACTCAAAATTAATCCTCAACACTCCAATAACCTCATGTATGTTCTTTTTAACATTATGATCTTCTCATCTCCAACAAATTTCCACATCTAACCAACAAAATAAAAAGAACTCAACAATAACATACCTACCCCTCGAAGATTACCAAGTTGACATAAATTATCCTTAAAATTCAAAAACACGCAACTCAACCATCCCCTCCTTTCTCTTGGAAGAATACCAAGCTACCACTTTCCCTGATTCTAGTAGCCTCAAGGAGTAATTCAAACTGTATATTACATCCTCTATGTGTACACCACGTCCCAATGAAACCCTTGAATTTACCCTAAAAACAATGGGTCCCGCAATCTGCAAATAAAAATGTAAAAAAGATCTCAAAAACTGTACTTCCAAATCTAAGGGCCCACACACAGTCTATATAAAGTGTTGTCCGGATAAATGTACCTGTTGTTGTAGGATCAAATTTAGTTTGGGTGAAATTGAAGAAACCGAGTTCACGTCCAAACGAGCATCAACTCGAGTGAGGTCGCCATAATCTTTTCTAAATTTCCCGTGTTGATAAGCAAAGCAAATCGATCCAAATAAATCGGCACCAAATGGTCTCTTGGTGTTTGTCAGCCATGCCTCACAGTTGCCGCCTACCATTTGAAGGGCAAATACGTAAATAACAAAATCTCATTATTAAAACAAAAGAAAAACCAACAAGCATTAAATGGAAAAACAGTACATGTACAACTCGTTCTGTCATGTCATGTCATGTGTAACAAACGGGGGGGGGGGGGGGGGGGGGGGGGGGGGGGGGGGGGGCAAGGATGAATAGATTTACCAAAAATTCCAGATATTGCAGCATGTGGTTCCTTCATGCGTAAATCATAAGCCGAATTCCGAAAACTCCCCTCCTTTCTCTTCACTAATTTCAAATCCTCTTTCGTTTCAAGTTCCCTCCAAAGGTCTCTACTTTTTTCATACGAAAAGGCGGCTTTTGCACAAATTCCAGGTTTTAAAGAAGCCGGAATTGGAACCGGATCCTCGCCGGAGTCAACCGCCGCCTTGGCGGCACCACCATTTCTATGGATGCCAAAGTGGTACCTTAAACCTGACTCAGAGATAAGTGATGCACAGTCTAATGATATTGACTCAGGCATGTCCCAATATTTTCCATTCCTGTCCACAAAAAGCTCCGGCCAAGCAGCTTCCAAAGTTAGATCATGATCGGGTAGCTGAACTATGAATACAAAAGTATTGATGTTAATATCATTATAGAATCTAGATATCAATTTTTAAATATAAGTATCAACTAAGAGTCTAAGATGATAAAAGGATGAAGATGAAATCTAGACTTGCCTTGTGATGGATAAGGGCCTTGGTATGACGATTCTTCCTTTGACCATCCTTTTCTACGTTGACCACCACAGAAGTTAAGGGGCCCACATCCAGGTGGGACATTAAACCAATTGAATAAAATGATTTGTCAAAAAAGTTCTTGACAACACTTTTAATACTAGGCAATGTTAGATCAGCTTGAAGAGCTTCTGATGCAACTGAAGATATTAATTTTATTGGACGGATTTGCCCAACAAGTCCAAGCCACCTGTACATAATAAAGATCAAGGTATGCAAGAAATAGCAACATACTTTTGTTTATTTGTTTATCATAGCATTCTAGTTTTGTTTCTTCCTATTATAGAATTCTACTTTGTAAAATCTACCCAAATAATAAAGCAATTTTCACTGCTATAATTGGATAAAATTTTAAAGTAAGTTGTCTTGATGAAAAAAATTACAAAAACATTGAAAACTCGGTTAGATGTAACTAAAGAGAAATACTGAAAGAGAACTGAAGACTGTATGAACTAAAAAAATTGGCATAAATGGGAGCTGAAAATGATATAAATGGGGAAAAGAAACACCACCAACCCAAATGTTCCAAAATTTGGATTCATTTAGGAGACAACTTACAAAATTCTGATGATCATATTTAATATGAATCTATTTGATTTTACCACATAGAACCAGTGATGCTATGAAGTTCATGAAATGAATTAATAACTACCATCATCAGTGTTTACAGAAGTTTAATTGAATCCACACCATATGAATTCTTTGGATTCCAAAATTGTCTTCACTAGGTTAAAAGTAATTATCAGAGCACAGAATTTTACAAAAACAATCAAATGGGTATTCCTTCAATGTCAAAATTTATCCCATAAATTAAAAATAAAAGAAGACATACCAGTTTTCTGCAGGTTGTTTCGACCAAATAGTCTGAAGAGATAAGGAACCCGACTCCTTTTGTGAGGAAGAATACAAAGGTGGGGCATAAGCGGGAATTACACCCAACGGAAAACCTTGTCCCAAAAGCCATAACTGTTGCATTCTGAGAAGTTTACTGGAAGGTGCTCCATCCAACGGCGCAGGTTCGCCAGGAATTGAGCGCGCAGAGCCGTGGAGGGTTTGCGGAGTGGCTATGCGTAGGTCATAAAATGCTGCATCCATTGAAGTTCTTAGATTAGCCATTGTTTCTCTTCACGAATCGGAGAAATGTGAGTTTCTTATCTGTTGCTGTGCTTTTTGGGCGTGGGAGTGGGTTTGGAAGGGGGTTTTGGGAAACGAGATGAGATGGTTTTGTTTGTTAGCATCAGGAGGGTTTTGCCATATAAAATTGATATTTGAGAAACAAAAATGTAAACCCTAGAATTGACAGCAAAAGCAAGCTATTTGGTAATTACACATAAAGATTAAAGTGCAGGCCGTTTTAGGGGGTCTTTTGGATAAAAATGGTGTTCAGTTTGATTTTGTTTGTTTATGTGAAACTTAGGGGGTCTTTTGATAAATAGTTTTTAGCAGCTTATTGTTTATTTGTTTATTGCTGTGGAAATAAGCATTTGTTTAAAATGTGTTTGGATTAGCTTATTTAGGTGGGAATAAGCAATAAGCAATAAACATTTTAAGTGTTTGGCAAACAAAAAAACTTATATGAGTAAAATGACCAATAAACAATAAGCAATAAGCATTCCCCCATTGCTTATTAAAATCAGCTTATTTTGCTTATTCCTACCGCAATAAGCTGATTTTTAACGACTCCTATCAAAACACTTAAATTTGCTTATTGCGGTGGGATTAAGCAATAAGCAATAAGCAACCTATTTTTTCCCTATCCAAACACCCCCTTAATAATAACATTGGAGTCACTTCTATCCCATATAATCATATATTCAATATAATATATAATATCTAATCAGTGAGAAACAATCTTAAATCTGACCGCCGAATAAAAACATAGTATTAAACGAGTGATGGTCAAGTTAGAAGCTACTTAATATTATATCAAACACTTTAAATCTAATCGATTTATAATAACCTCTTACTAAATCCAATAAAAAACATATCAAACATCCATAAATTATAACCAAATAACCACAAGAGGAGGAGACTAGTGATCATATGCTGTAATTAATGAAATTCTTAATTGGTGTGAAATCATATGTGATAACTTTAATTCGGTAAGGGGCATGCTTACTATTTCTATCAAGATGGAGCAACTATTTCTATCAAGATGGAGCAAGTGCAAAAAAAAGAGAAGCCTGCTGAACGTAATTCTATGTGGAGTTTTGTGGTGCATATGGATCGATAGGAACAAATGTGTCTTCAATAATATTCCTGTTGTTCCGGCGAACACAGTGGAAAAGGTAAAATCGTTATCTTTCATTTGATGCAAACACAGAGACCATATAAAAACATTGATTGAAGAATTTGAAACCTATGTCCGTTTCTATGTTTGTAATTTATTTGTTTCTCATTTTTTCTTACGTTGTATTTTCCTGTCTGTATCATCTTGATGTAGGTTTATTTTTAATATATTTATCGTTTTAAAAAAAAAAAATTAAACATCACAAAATAAGTACACATCTTGCAAATTAACTTTGAAGACCCTCCATGATGATTGTGGGCCTGAGACCTCTCGATCCTTCTTATATGTTTCATATTTGGGTTGTTTATTAATTATTATCCTTGTTGTTAGGAGTCTTTATCAAAATTTTAATAGGATATTTAATGCACATGTAAGCATAAATACCCAAATCAATTTCGCAAAATGAAAATAACCGATTGGGTATGCAAATTTTGATATATTAATATATTCGTTGTAAGAGAAATGACTTCTCGTTGCTTGAAAGTTTCATAAAAAAAAACTTGCAAAATAATAAAGAATAATCAGTTTTAGTTATGGTTTTTTTTTTTCACTTTAATGGTATGGGTGCCGATTAGGTATGCATCTATGATGTGCCATATCGACGTCTCTAGTAGGTTGCTAACACTTCACGATCTCACACCTATTCAAAAGTTCTATAAGAGTGTTATTATATGTATCTCACACTCATATAAAAAATCAAACACATACATTCACCACTCACATACAGGATACACCAAGTAATTTGAGAGTACATATAGAATAAGACTTCTATAAACATATAAACAAAATATCTAAAATTACTAAGGGGGTCGTACTAACATATTCACCCACTCACACAGAGGCGGAGCGCTTAAGGGGCGAGAGGGGGTCATGGCCCCCCTGCTTTTGAGCCTAGTAACCATAAGTAACTTATTATTATAAAGCAAATTCTTTAACAATTAGTTTGACCAATCGATCAATTAAAAGAGTAACCAAAAACAACTAATTTTTTGTCAAGCAAATTACTAGTTTCATCAAAAAAAGATTGTTTTATTTTAAATTATCGGTGTAATTTTAGCCCAAGAAATTTGTGGGAAAAAAAATTGCAACCCGATCCGATAAATTCCTTCAACCCTAAAATATAGCAGAGGAAGTTCCACAAATTCCAAAAATAAAGAAAGGCGCATCATGAAATAGTAGAAATAAAACAAAAAATTAGAAAAGTTCAAATATAAAGTCCACCTCCACACCGGTGTTAAATGTGAAATCAATTTGATAAAACCGTAAAATAGGAGAAGATTGAGAAGACTGAAAAAGCAGTGGACGTCGGAGAACTGCGCCTTTCTGGCTCTCCTCTCCTCGCCGCCTCCTCTAATCGTCGATCCGTCGTAAAAGTCATTATTGCATTTCCTTAGTCCCCACTTTACTGGTTGTGGTTAGTTCTCTTCTCTCAACTTGTCACCGCCTAGATTATGTTTTCACCCAACTTTTTTAGTTTTCTCTGCCGCCCACCTATAAGTTATTGAAGTATGTGTTGTATGCATTTAACCTAATTGTTTATTACTTTACTAGATTATAACCCGTGAGAACCACGACTATAAAATTAATTAAAATTTCATAATAAAAAATTATAATTATTAATCAATTATTTTAAATAAATCATTTTAAACAAATTATTAATTAGGAGATATATCACATTTTTAAAGTTATTATAAATTCAAATTTAATATATAATTAGAAAATATAAAATTTAAATTTTGAAATGAGTTGTCTAATATATCTACATGACACATGTCATAATATTAATTAGAAGTTGTATTAGAGTGACACTTGACAAATGGAGATTAAAACTATTCATTTATTAGAATAGAGATTTATGTAAAATATTTTGATATCTTACATTATTTTATGTTAATGTCAATTGTTTTTATTTTCATAATACATGTAAGTTAAGGTGATATTTAAATACATTGTAGTTAGAGTTTGTTCAATATATTGAATTTTTAATTATTTTTAATGTAATTTTTATATATAAAAAGATTTTATAATATTAAAACTCCTTATGGCATGGCTTGTTAAAAAAAGAATAGATAATTACGTTCCAACCCCCCTTAGTTTTAGGTCTTGTGTTCCGCCCCTACACTGGGATACACCAAGCAATTGGGACGGTACATATAGAATAAGACTTTTATAAACATATAAACAAAATATCTAAATTACTAAGGGGTCGTACTGCTAGTACGCTTATAACATGATGACATGTAAACTGCAAATATGAGACACGCTCAGGTCCTACTTGTAATCGTGAATATACGTGAATAAAAATCCACTATTTGATTTTTATATTTAATTTTTTAGGGTAATTGGTATTATAACACAATTAGCCTAATTGAAGGATGAGTGGGAAACTAGTTATAATTGTAATTACTTGTTAATTATATGTGAATTATATCATGTCATATAAAAAGGGAATTAACAATTCTATTAAGGTTTTGGATTATGATTTAAATAAAGGAGAAAGAAAAAAAAGGGCATAAGAGCATTTGAGAGCAATATAACCGAATCAATGAGTAATCAAGTGAATTTCTGGATTTCTAGTATATTGAATTGCTAAATTCGTTGGTGAATCATCAATATATGAATATTTACCTAGGTTTTCATGCATTTTAGAAATCATTAAGTGAAAACCATTGGTTTCATTGTATTTAGATGATGTTTCTTATTGATTTTGGCATATTGGGAAAGAACATGTTTGTTAGACTCGAGGGAGTGGCGCGGTAGAGATCGCACCTTTTGCCACATAGGCTGGGGGAACCCCCCCCCCCCCCCCCCTCATGCGGTCTTGGGTGCGGTTTGGTGGATAGGGAAATTGACCGTTGAATAGTTAAAAAGTTTAACATTTATTTATTAATTATTTTATTTATTTATTTTTTTACCTGTAAAATAAACTATTTACCTTCATTTGTTCAAACCAAAACCAAACTTTTAGATTTTTCTATTGCTTTCTCTCTCAAAATCACTAGAAAATGTCATCTTTTTCGTCTTCTGAAGAATTTCAAGTTATTTTTTATGTTGTTATTGCTTATGCTCAAATGGCGGAACAAATGTATGACGCTTTATGCAATAACACAGCCGAAAGTTCTCAACGGAGAACACGAAGATATATTTATAGAAATCATGAAAAAACCAACCAACGTTTGATACAAGACTATTTTCACGAGAATGCCACTTATCAAGAGTACTACTTTCGCAGACGCTTCAACATGTTCAAATGTTTATACAAACGTATAGTCAAAGATGTAACGAGGGAGTGTAGTTTTTTCCAACAACGTTCTAATGCTAAAGGTACACTCGGTTTCACTCCCTTACAAAAATGCATAGGCGCACTTTGTCAATTAGCATATGACATCACGCCTGATGCATTGGACGAGGGTTTTAGGATGTCTGGTAGGACTGCACGAGATAGTCTCCACTATTTTTGCAAAACTGTGATTAAGTTTTATGGTCCAAAATATTTATGTAGGCCTACACGCAATGACATCTTACAATTGCAAGCTCATCATGCTAGCGTACATGACTTTCTTGGAATGATAGGAAGTTTAGATTGTCTCCATTAGACATGGGAAAATTGTCCTACCTCACATTATGGTCAATTTACTCGAGGTGATCATGGTCACCCAACAGTCATACTTGAAGCGGTAGCGTTGTAGGATCTGTGGATTTGACATGTTTTTTTTTGTTCTCCCGGTTCGATTAACGACATCAACGTTCTTAATCGTTCACCTATATTTAACAACATATATGACGGATCTGCACCAAATTCTTCTTTTGAAGTGCATGGAACGCCATATAAGTATGGTTATTATCTTGTTGATAGGATCTATCTTGAGTATGGTGTGTTTGTTAAATTGTTTACATGTCCACATGGTTCTAGACGGAAAAAATTCAAGAGAGCTCAAGAAAGAGTTAGGAAAGGAT